AATAGCATCAAAAAAGTTTTAATCTGCAAATGAATTTAACTAAGGGGGCAAAAGATTTGTACATTAAAAACTATAACACATTACTAAAAGAGGTTAAATACACAAATAAATGGAAAGACATCCCATGTTTATAAGTTGGAAGATTTAATTTTGTTTAGATGACAGTACCACCCAAAATGACCTTCAGATTCAATGCAATGCCTCACAAAATCCCAATGGTGTTTTTGCAGAATTAGAAAAACCCATCTTAAAATTAATGTGCAATCACAAGGAACTCAGAATAGCCAAAACCATATTGAAAATGAAGAGCAAAGTTGAATAACTCACACTTCCTGATTTCAAAACTTACTGCAAAAAGAATAGTTAAAATTGTACAAAATTGGCATAAGAACAGAAACATAAACAAATAGAACAGAATAGTCCAAAAATAAACTTTTGCACAGAGAGTCTTGATTTTTTAACAAAAATGCCAAGACCATTCAATGGGGAAGGGACAGTCTTTTCAGTGGAGGGTGGTGCTAGGAAAGGTGGACATCACATGCTAAACAAGGAAGTTGGGTGCTTACTTCACACTATATACACAGTTAACTCAGATTAACTCAGATGGATCAAACACCTAAACATAAGAAATAAAGCTTAGAAGAAAACAGAAGGAAAATCTACCCGACACTGAATTCAGCAATGCTTTCTTGGACATGACACCAAAAGCCCAGATAAGGAAAAAAAAAAAGATAAATTGGCCTTCATCAGAACTGTAAACTGTTCTGTATCAAAGGAGTTTGTCAATGGAGTGCAGATGTAACCCATGACCACAGGATAAAACATTCACAAAGCATGTCTGATAAAGAATCAATATCCAGAGTATATAAAGAATTTCAGTAATCTAACAGCAAAAAACAAAAACCCCAATCCAAAAAATGGACAAAGGGCTTAAATGGACATTTCTCCAAGTAAGATAACACAAATGGCCAAGAAGCACACGAAAAGATGTTCAGCATCACGAGCCGTTAGGGAAATGCAAATCAGAACAATGAGGTACCACCACACATCCATTAGGATACCTATTATCCAAAAATGGGGGAGGGAAAGAGGGTATAGGTCACTGGTAAGAGTGTGTGCCTAGCATGCATGAGGTCCTGGGTTCAATCCCCAGTACTGCCATTAAAAATAAACAAACATGAAAACAAATATATGTATGTGTATGTATGGCTGAAACATTATCTGTACACTAGACATTGACACATTGTAAACTATGCTTCAATTAAAAAAAGGTTCAGAAAATAAAACCTAATTACCTCCTCCCCCTCCAAAAAGGGGGGAAGGGAATAAAAAGTATTGGCAGGTGTTGGCCTGAATCCCATAGACCTACAAACCCTGTACTTACCCATCGGGAGACCAAAGAATGAGCCTGGAGTCAGTGACAGAGCCACCAATGGTTTCACGGAAGGGGGAGCTTACATGTCTGAAGCAAGGTCCTAGAGCAACACCCCACTGTGTGCAGCAGACAGAGGGCAGGATGTGGTGGCAGGCTTCACTCCCAGAGGGAGAGGGAGTTCACATCAGGTTGTCTCACCAGGTACCAGGGAAACTAGTAGAGGGGCACACCACTCACCACTCCTTTGGTAAGCTATCATAGTGGCTGAACTTAGAACCATCATTAGCTCGGGCCTGGGGCAAGTATGCAGGGAGGTCAGCCAGCTGAGTAGGGTGTAGGTGAAGCAGGCCCTGGTCAAGCAGGGGACGTACAGAGAGCAAGAGAACAACCATCTTGGTGGCCTGACCATACACTCCACCCCTACACACTCTGCAGGACGCTTACAATCTTGGTCCATCCCTCTTCCACCATATCCCTGGGGTCAGGTAGGTAGAGGGCACTGCAACCAGATACCAAACACACGATACAGACAGCAGAAGCCGAAGAGTATCAAGAGTAAGGTACCTAGTATGCTTTAAAAAAAAAAAAAGTCATTCATCAGGATGTGGGAAAATCTTGGAGCCAAGCACTTACCAGGTCAATGGAGAGAGAGTCAATGCAGCAGTGCCCTGTCCAGTTATAAGGAAGGTAGGGCCACTCCTGGTTTTCACAAACCCAGAGCCACCCTCCACCATGGGGAAGGGAAGGCCTGGCCTAAAAGAAACATGCTGGTGGCCTAGCCAGGAGCCAGCAGTCATGGTACGGTTCTGCCTCCTCCTGTTACGCTGGGTGCCATCAGGAGCAGACGCATTAGGTCTTTGCAAACAAAATCGCACTAAAGGCTTACTGTTGTTGGACACAGGACGGTGTTGTGGGTGGTAAAAGAATTTACCAGAGACAAAGAAGAGTTTAGGAGAGAAGGAGAAAGTTTAATAGGTACGCTGCTGCAGGCAACAGTGGGCCACACACAGAGGCGCCTGGGGCAGGCCGCATCGGCTGCTGAGGCCTTTCCCGGGGAGGGGCTGGTGAACAGAGGGGGCTGCATGATCAGCTCATGCAAACGTTCCTGATCGGTTACAAGTGAGCTAAGACTTGTCAAGGGCTATTCAGAGCAATGGGATTTATGACTCCGATCAGGAGGACCATATGGACTGAGACAAGTCAACATATGAGCTGTCGTGAGGCTAGCTAGCCATTTTCCAGGGCTGTTAATTCCGCTAGGGCAAACACGTCAGAAAAGGGTGTCCTTTTTGTTTTGGGTTTTTTTTTTTTTTTGAGGGACTGCAGGCAGACATCAGAAAGCCCAGGGCCTCAGCAGGCACCAGTTGGCATGACACTTGTGTGTCTGGAAGTCAGACTATTTCACTCCACACAGCATAGCCCTGGGGGCTCCTGGTCAGTCACCCCGGCAAAGTGACGTATTGTAAGGTGACATATACCAACAGGGTGCCTTCTGACATACTGGTATACAGGACAGAAAGATGGCAAGAGACACCCTCCCTTCCATTGTCAGTTGTCCCCACATGGTTGCATTAACTGGGTTAATTTTCCATGGAAGCCCAAAGGAAGCCAGAAGTAGCACCTTGCTGTAGACCCAGCAGTTAGACTCATTTCACAATGAGACCACTGTGGCTGCTCGTCCTCAGATTCCCTCCAATCAGGTTAGGAATGAAATGTAATAAAACATCTAACAGGCACAACACAGGGAGCACATAACAGCTAAGCAAAACACGAGCACTAACTGAATTGAGAGATAATACCACACCTGCCTGTGGTTTTTGTCCTGGTCTGCAATACAGTTCAGAAAACTCAAGTTTTCAGCAATACAGGACCACATCTACAGTGGCCACCTCATTTTACCTTGGATGTGAGTCACAGCTAACCATTCTGACTTTCAAATGCATTCCCCTCCTCAATGGCCAAAGCAGATGTACAGTGCATGTTCGATGGGCCAGAATACAGGTCACTGTGGTCAGCCAAGTTTAAGTTAAACCATATATAAGCCAGAATCACTTCCCTATACCCTCGGTATATGCACATTTTTTCATAATTTCCCCTTTTGGTTGCAAATCTTTTGACAGACCAAAGTGTATGTCCCTTGAAGCCAGGGTGAATGCTGCCTGCCCTGGGTCCAGGTCACGTCCCTCAGTGCTAGACCTCCTTTGTATTTGCCTAGTTACCCACGTTGGGATCAGATATAGTGAACAAGCTCAGAGGTGTGGTGATGGGGGAAACATTTTAGAAGCTGTATGTTTCAACAATTATACCAAATTGTTATACAAACATTGTACATGTGCTTTTAGGGGCAGGCTTAAACAGTGACACATGTCATAAGCAGTTACACTCTGAGAACTTCACTCTTTCCGTCCGGAGCATTAGGGCAAAAGTACAGCTAACAGTAACCTTCATAAATACAGACCTCAGCAGAACTAGAACTTAATATCCACTGGAACATAATATTTTTCTCTCTAAAATCATCCTCTTCTCCACCAAACACAGCCAAATCAGGACTAATTTGTTTTCAGAGTAAGTCTGGTCAGTTGACCGCAGCTGTGGAGGAACTCCTCAGAAGGAGTCTGACTGAATTCTCAGAAGGCGTCTCAAGGCCAGGAAAGCCCTGCCAAAGGCCAGTCAGAAGGCCCCACCTCACTGGATTTCTCTCTTCTAGAGGTTCCCCAAAAGTAACATGATTCCTGCACTTGCCAGGAGACCGTCCTTCCCATTCACCTGATAAGGCTGCTTGGAACCCAAGAGCCTCCAGTTTCTGGAGGGACCAGGCAGAGAGAAAAGAAATAGTTCAATTCTACCCACAGGTGTAGTTTACAAAATTGCTGTAAGTCATCACTAACGTGAGGGGAAAGGGCTTCCCCATAATCTGGAAAACACAGATAAAAACGAGGATATTCCAGAAAAAAAAAAAAAACCATGAAAATTATCACCATGTTCACCAGTTCAGTCAGTAACCAGTTCTTTTGCTAATTTTGTATGAAGCTTAGGAGGGAAATGGGCAGGACGCAAACGCTAGATAAATGAAGACAGGGCACGGCTGTTGGGATGTGATAATGACCAGCTGGAACCAGCTGGAAGCAAGGTGGCTTTGAGAATAGTCCAGTCACTGACCTTTAGCTCATTATACCTTCACTGTAATACTAAAAATCACCCCCTTCCACCATGACAGTTCCCAGGTGGACCACAAAAGGCCAAAAAGTGGGAAGTGGCCCCAATTCCTGGGAAATCCCCACCCTTCCCTGAAATGGCACAACTATTCCTCCCACTCATTAGCCCATGAAATCACTTAGCCCATAAAAACCTAGGACCCCGTGCCTGGAGCCACTCTCACTTTCCGAGATGGTACACATTCTGCCTATGGAGTGTGTCTCTCTCCAAACTTGCCTTTGCTTTTCTCTGGCTCACACCTGAATTCTTTCCTGTGAGAAGTCAGGAACCCTCACCTGGCAGTTCATCCTACGTATTCTTGCAGGTCCCAGGATTTGACATTTCCATCTCCTGCAACATCTTTTGTGGCGACGAGGAGCAGCGACATCAAAGGGCATAATCTTAATCCACCTATCAGGCTGTGGCTCCCCTCCTCCATGGAGGGTGGCTTGGATGGAGGGTCCTGAGCCATAAAGACCAAGCAGCCCCTTAGGTGACAGGTGATGCTGTCCACAGGATCTGGCAGAGACCAGCTCTCCAGCCACGAAGGAGCCTGACAAGTCTGAGGCTGACTTTTCTCTGCTGGCTCTCTCTCACCTTCTGGTTACATCACTCTCTTTGGACCCGCGAAGGTCCATGAGACAACCACCCAGACTTCCAAATTAAGGCAGCAGCAGGTAACCTGCAACATGGTCCGGTGAGTTTCCCCTCTGTGGCTCCTCGAGCCCGATTCCCCCTTCCTACTCATTCCCAGTCTCAGTCCAATTCCAGGACCCCATCAGGGGGCACAAATGGGAGCCCTCTGCTAGATCTGTAGCTCGGCCCCCGTCCAGTGCTGTTCTCAGGGCTCACGGCCTCATTGCTCCCCTGAGCAGAAGTCACGGGCACTTCCCTCTCTCGGGGGTTATGGACTTTCATTTCCTAATCTAGTTCAGATTCACATGATCCATCACCCTGGGTTTTCCCCTTCTCCTCCTCCTCTCAACCCCTAACTTCTTAGACTGTCTCAGGTCCCTGAGCCCCCTCGCCCAACAGGGTGGATATTGCCTCTGTCTCATACTGTGGGAAGGTATCCCTCTTTAGCCTCCCCTCAGCTCATTTTCACCCCTTTGGTTTTCTGATCTGACACTGTAAGTAAGGGTCACATCCTGGAGGGAGCTTTTTCTTGTATTACTGTCATCACATGGCCTGCTGGTGCTCCAGCCTGACCCTTCGACTCTATCTACTTCTCTTCTTTTGCAGGGTGACAAAAGATTATTCCCTTAGCCAATTCACAGCCTCGGTCTCCTCCCTCCCTCTCTGAAGGGTTCACTCTGGTCACTGTTTCTCCTGCTGGCTCTTGTTCCTCTCGTTAGCTAACCCGGGGGCCTCCTAAGGCTTGCAGAACAGGCAGGTCTCAGGTGCCCACAGGGATCTCACTGTTGCACTTTGCCAGACAAACCCTTTAAGGCCAGGCAGCCACAAGCTCAGTTTTCTCTGCTTAAACACCTCTTCTGTTGAATTCCCTACCTTGGAGTCAGGGGCTATCACGGATTGGGCCATTTATACTGCCTCTTTAACTGCCATCAGAATTTGATTCTGCAACATCCCCTGGAAGGGGTCCATCCACCGAAGTCCCTAGCGCACTCCCTTCTGAGGACGTTGGGCTATCAGGGACACTGGGAGAGCACCCGGACAGACGACTACCATCTGGCCAGGAACTGTCAGATCCCTGTCTTGTCACGACTCTCTAACCAAAACTGGGGGAGACTTCAAGCACCCCAAAGAATTCTCCGTTAGGAGGCATATTAGTTAACTGGGGTAAATTTAGACAAGATGGCTTAAGAAGAAAGAAATTAATTTTCTTTTCCAATACCGCATGGTCCCTAAGGGACCGAGAAATCTGGCCAGAAAGTGGGTCACTGAATTACAATACCATCATGCAGCTGGACCTACTTTGTAAAAGGGAAGGTAAAAGAGAGGAAGTCCCATACCTCCAAGTGTTCAGGACCCTGTTCCAACATCCAGATCTAAGAAGCCCTGCTGGGCATGCCTGGCTCACACCCCTCCACAATGCCTTCTTCCCCATAGGAGCCTGATGTTTACACGATCCTTTCACGATCTCTGAATTCCACCGAGAACTCCTACCCTCCCCCAATTCTAGGACGGTTTTCTGGGCCATTGACCCCTGATGCACCATCTTAGCTGCTGGAAATTCCACCATTTTATCCCTCTAGCCCTGTCTTGTATCCTCCATTACCGGAGGTGAGTCCTGCCCATACAACACAAAGCAGGGCTACCTACCAGCCTCCTAGTTCCAAACTCTGTCCCTTAAGGGAAGTGCCAGCTGGTGATGGAGAACAGAGTCCTTATGCCTTTTCCTATGGCTGACCTAGCTACTTGCAAAGAGAAATCTGGCCATTTTCCAAGGACCCAGTTGGTTCGTAGAGGAATTCACCAAGCTGACAATGTCCTATGAACTTACGTGTGGGCGGGGGGAAGAACCTACCTGCTTTCTTTCTGCCTGCTGCACCTTTGAAGAAAAAAGCCCGATCCTTGGTGCAGCCCAGGCATATGACGATGAACTGGAAGCCCAAAATCAAGGACGTATAATCTACCTTACTAAAGGGGATACAATCCCCAGCCAAGTCCGCACTGGGACTACCAACAGGGAGGTGGAGGGCAAAGAACCACTTCATAGCTTGCCTCATAGAAGGAATGAAAAGATACGTTGTTAGCCCCTTAATTATGACAGTCAGAAGTAAGACAGGGAAAAGATGAGAATCCGGCCCTCTTTCAGGGCTGCCTGGTGGAAGCCTTTAGAAATTACCAATATTAATCCCAACACCCCTGAAGGGCAAGTCCTAGCAAACGCCCATTTTATTGCTCAATCTGCCCCAGGCATTAGGGGAAAAATACACAAGGTAGCTATGGGCCCCCAAGACCCCATGAATCAGCTCATGGACTTGGCTTTTGGAGTATTTAACAATAGAGATAGAGTTAGGGAGCAAAAGGGATTCAGGGACAAC